ATTGCTCGCCTAAAACTCAACTACAAATCAAATCTTCCATCTTTCTTTTTCCTTCTTACCGTTTGATCGAAACGTCTACATCTTTCAAACACTCAACAATCGTTGCTCGATGTCTTTGCACAGCATTTTGGTCTGCATGAACAACACGTAATAAAGTATTTAATGCTACATAACGAATGTTCTTGTCATTGTTCAAAAGAAAGCGACCCAGAATATTCACAGCTAAAACCTATTGAACACGAATACACATATGCATGTTCAATCAAAGAATTCGTACTCGGAGACCCGATTCAGATTTGATATCCATAATTGTCAAAACAGTTTCATAGAGAATTGCATTGCCAACATTTTTGCTATTTTCTGTGTTCGTTGCAACCTGAGCAAGAATATCATTCATTGTATCACTTGCTTCAGTATCATTTCGACCTAATACGCGCAATAAGCGTAGTAAATGAACCTAAACTAAACTCTGCAAGAGACATTTCATTCAATAGAAGATTTTCTACTTGTAAAAATGGATCACTGATTCCCGAAACATCATGTTCAGGACTGTATCCTGACATAATTAAATTTTTTAGGATACGAACAAGGTTTGGTACTAATTTGCGAAAGACATGTAATGCTTGAGTATTTTGCTGGCACACCTCTGTGACGAGAGCCGTCGCCGTGAGAAGTACGCCTAAAAAATATTCATCGAGAATTCAATTCTATAAATTCGAAGTGTGTTTTATGATGCAAACCATGATTTTTCTCCGATAGTAAACTTCGAATCGTATTCTGAAAGATATCAAATTGTTCCGGAACTTTTCGAATGATGCGAACAGCACACAGCACCGCCTAGAATCACTTCGACATGGAAATGAACGAACAAAATTCGTCGTCGAATACTTTTTTCTTCAGATACACATTGGATGATTTCATCAACCGTTCAACTTCATCACCCAAGTCCCGACTCATCTCGGGCGAACAAATAGCACCCAATGCACATAATGCTAAACCGGTTATGTATTGATTCGAATGATTTAAGTCACTAAAATCCAAAAACGGCAACGTTAATATTTGCGCTTAATCATCCTTCATGTTTAACAACAAATATGACTCATACAATTATGCGTGCACTTCGGTATAGATAATCATATGTGATAACGTATATTCGCACTCTGAAAATAACTATTTCTATAATGAACTCGAAAAGCAATTACTTTTTCAGTGAATTGGTAATCATCACATGAATATCTTGTCGTTCATCCAGTAATAGCATGGCTCCTAGATAACCAATTCGTTTATCGGTAAACCGCGGCGATGCAATCAGCTTCAAACATTCCAACTATACAACAAAAAGCACAGAGATTTTGCAAATGAAAGACATCAGCTTGGATATACTTGTCCGAAATGTGCTGGATAGCCAAGTAGTGACACATAGAGTAGTTTAGCGACATTTCGACATCGCCATGTATTGTCTTCATCACGAAATGAATCTCGGATATAGGCACATTCTTTCTGCACGACAGCACGTTCTTCGGCGGCTGTTTTCGCTGAACGAATTTGTCGAATTAGATCGCGAAGTCGAACTGGATTCGACTAAAATCAATTGCGAAGAATAGATAGACATCAGAGAAGTTCATCATTAGTTACCAGTGATGATAAGTCGGGAAATTTCATAGTTTAGATTGATTCAAATTGAAATTTTTAAATATAACTCAAAAATAAGAATAAAAATATATAATATGTCGCACTCTATGACTCACAGAGTATCTTGGTTTGCCATTTTGTTGCTCGCTGAACTTAACCTCATAAATCATAGAGGTCGCTTTTAAATCTTGTTGTCTTTTTTTGATAAATGAAATATCAAATTTTCTTCTTTTTTGTTTTTGTATTTGCATAGGAATTTTCCGTAGGAAGTTTTCTTGAAAAACTATGAATTTTAATTGGTTAATGACGATCAGAATCTATAATGTATCTGTCTGTTCGATTAATCAATAGATAAATATAATCATTGATTAGAACAAAATGGATGATGAACAAGCAACAACTTCAACATCTGATACAACAAATAAAACCGCCTTGGAAGTAGATTTACGAACTAAAAAGGCGTACCAATTCAAATCAAGCGTTCTTGAACGTTTACGTGAACAACGAAATTCACGAGAATTTTGTGATCTAGTTCTTTGTGCAGAAAATGAAAAATTCAATGTACATAAGTAAGAACGTTCATCTCATTCTCAATAGGAATAACTCTCACGAATGACATATTCTAGATGTGTACTCGTTGCTAGTTCAGATTATTTCGAAGCAATGATTAGTCGAAGTGGAATGCAAGAAGCCACGGCTGGTAAGAAGCTAAACATTGTTTTCTCGTTATTTTCGTTTGTGTTCAACTAGATACAATTGAATTGAAGGATATTACAGCAAATGGACTACGAGCAGTACTAGATTTCATTTATACTGGTGAATTGTCTTTAAGTATAGAAAATATTGGTAAGTTTGTTTGACGAGGAATCCCTCGAAATGTTTACGAACGAGAAAGTTTTCAAGGTTTTGAAAGAAAACAGAAATCATTTCGATGAGCTCCGTTGCAAACTAGTTGATATTTTTTTATCACAACTATCGATGATTGATGGACGTTAATGTCACACTTGTCTATCACTTAATGAACCGTAGATAAAATGATAGGTCTTCGTGTTCATTTTAACTAATAAAACTGGCAAAGATACAATTGATTTTTCGTTCTGATTTAGCTGAAGTTCTTCGTGCGGTCACACATCTACAAGTGCATCATGCAATAAAACTTTGTGAGGATTTTCTCATTGAAGAAACAACCGTGGAAAATTGTATTGATGTGCTCAGCTTAGCTGATTTATTCTCTATACCTGTTCTAGAAAAGGTTTGTTCGATAAAAAAAGAATTGTTCTGTCATAGTGATCGTTTTCTTTTTCATTAGATTAACAAATTCGTCTTACGAAATTTCTCTAAAGTCGCACTCAACGAAGGTTTCAAACGAGTTACATACGAACAGATACTCTACTTAATTCGTTCAAACGAATTTCGTCTCTATCCCGAGATCAAAGTCTTCGATATGTGCGTCGAATGGCTGAAATTTGATGAAGAACATCGAATGCTTTATGCCAGCTCATTAATGGAACATGTACGTTTTCAAACAATGAAACCCGAAGAATTTCATGATTTAGTCATGTCACATGACTTCATGAAAACCGATCCGGAGTGTATTCGTTATGCTTTCGAAGCTTACGCTTATTTTGCATTACCAAACCGACAATATTGTTCAACTTCACCACGAAGTAAAATACGCAATGAAGCCAGTCTTGTCTGTGTCAATGAGTCGATGTACATACTGAATAAACACGATGACGTTTGGGAATATATGTGTAATTCGTTAGCAACATGGCGAACTTTATCGCAGAAGTTTGTCGTTGTCAACAATTTTCTTTACGCATGCGGTGGCTATTCGGAAAATAATCGAGAAACAACCAATGCATGTTATCGATTCGACCCGCGAACAGGTCTCTGGTCGGAAATCGCTCGACTCTGTGAAAAAAGACAATTTTTCTCATTAGCTGGGTAAGTCAAACAATTTCTTAAATGAATATCTAATGAGCACGATGAATAGTTTATTAGTAATCATGCTTTCAAACACTTACATAGAGAAGTGAAAAAAAGCCATATGAGCGTAAAAGGTATTTCCAGATTTAACGGATGCGCATCATTTCTCTTCAGTGATTTCTAAAGACATTCACGCACGCATTGATATTCTATGAATGACTAGCGTTAATTATGTGTTTTCTTTGTTTGATTTAGTTCCAATCAATGTTTAGTCGCTGTCGGTGGGTAAGTTTGTATAGAATTGTTGTAGTTCATGAGATCATCGTTTGATGATGTAGTGTTTACGGTGACAAAGGCAATTTTTATGCAACACATCCATGTTCAACAGCTATTGAAGTATACAATATTGAAAAGGACCAATGGAGAACTTTAGCATGTACATATTTGCCCATTCTGAAGTGGCCTGGAGCGTGTGTCGCGGAAAACTTTGCTTTTGTCATCGGCGGAAAGCATACGGACGGTAAAGAATACACACAGCATGACAAGAGTCTCAATTCATTCTTTTCTTCTAGGACTCAATCATCGTCTTTCAGAAAATTCTTACATGGTTGACTTAGAATCAGGTCAAGTGACAATTTGTGCAGCCCCATTAACTGTACGGTTTAACCCAACTGTATTTTATCAGAACAAACGTCTGATTTTATTTGGTGGTGAAGATGACAAATACCGTCTTGCACCTTGTATTGAAATGTACGATTTAGCAACAAATCAATGGACAGAAATCGCGACAATACCTGTTTCGCATTCATATCAGTGTATATCAAGTTCATCAATCTTGGGAGATAAAATACATTACCTCTTGGAAGAGCATGATGGTCCTTCAAGTGAATCCTATATACTTAAATCATCCTACTTCGATATCGAGAAACGAACGTTTGAACGAAGTGTCCAATTACCGCATCCATCAACATTGGCAAGTAAATGGTGTTCACTAGTCTTTCCTCAACAATTTCTCGATGGATGTCAAACATTTGACAATCATGAATCGCACCATCATCACCATCATCATCATCACCATCCACATTATCATCATTATCCGTTAGATAATGCACCTCGACATAGTCTAGGTGAAACATCTAGTGGAGGTGATGTGTCATCGAGTGGTACGAATAGTGCCAGCAATAGTCCAATGATCTATCAACGACATCGGTATTATCCAGAACATCATCATCGTACTTGTTCAAATTAGATAAGAAGATTTCATCTGGCTTTTTTTTTTCATGCAGATTTTTCTCTCGATTTTAGTTGACTCGCTTTCTGTGTACATACTTGTATATATGAATATATCTGTTTGTCATTATTTTTAATGAGAAGAAAAGCAAAACTAAACGATCGTCTTGTAATTTTATTGTTTCAGATCATAGTAAGCTTTACCGAACATGTTACGAGAGGTAACCGATACAATAATAAGTTTGTAAAGATTTTAGATTGGAAAATCTTCTTCTTCTTCTTCTAGCCGTCAAATATGGAGCAAGAAGATACGTTGGGTGATCAAAATTCGTCCACGTCGATGTCAACAAATGATGATCTGAAAGAATTATGTCTTCTGTTGGATGAAGAAAGACATAAAATGCATCAATTGGCAGAACAATGGAAACATTTTGGAACGAGCACGATATTCAAACTTGAATCTCAAATAGTTGATTATCAAGAAAAGCTAAGTGATCTTGAAGAGCGACAAATCTTGTTATTGAATGAGAATGAAGCTCTGAAAAGTCTTATTGACCAAATGGCAATAACCAATCATCATCTGACGTCATCAAATGTAAAGAAGAGTTTGCGAAAAAAAAATATGTATATATTTGATAAATTTTTAGAAAAAATCTCAACAGACAGTCGCAACACAAACATGCTGCGAAAAATCTGAACCTCGAGCCGAGGATCCGTTGCAACAACAAATTTCTCTTCAAAACATGTTCGACGCTATAAAAGTAAAACGAGAAGCATTAATCGATTCATTATTCCTGTCTTTCATTGCATCTTTAGACTGCTGAAGTTTATGAATCAATTGGAAACATAACGGGTAATGATGCATCTGAAAAACTCGTCCTGAAAGAGTTCTGTAATGTAAGTCACGTCTATTACCTTGTCGATCGACGAAAATACAATTCTCTTTCGTTTTCAGCTCATTTGGAAATATCTCGAAGAACGTTCGAAACCAAAAAGTAGTTGTTTAATATAATTCATCGATTAGCGCTTTTGTTTCTCTTCCTCTGTAGTCAGATAGCACATGAATTGCATTTTGTCATTTACTTGTTTGAGTTAATATTAATAATGATAATAATAAATAAAACCAATTCAATAGAAAACGAGATGACAAGGATTTGATGGGTTCGGATCGTATTTGTTGTGAAACGGTGGTTGTCATAGTAACAGTAGTGACAATTTCTGTCGTTAATTGTTCGATAGATTCAACGTCATCGTCTTCAATGTAATCGTCATCGTCAACATCGAGAAATTCATTTGTTTTCCGTAGAGTATTCTTCAGGTCATATTCGGCTTGTTCTGATAATGGATTGTTATGGTATGAAGGAAGAATTATCGATGGAAAGTACACACGAATTGTTGCATTGATTTCACAGTGAATGAAGCTTTGAAAAGAGAAAAAGAAGAGAGACTTTCCTTATAATCCTCATCAACAAATGATATACTTGAGAGAAAACAATAGTTTCCAGAGAGAAATGATTAGCCAAAGCTGCATTATGTTACGTTGGAAGATAGTTCATCATTGTTGAGGTAAACAACTGGTTAGTAGTGATATTTTACTATGAAGAAAAAACATGTCTAAGTAGTTATTCATTCGAAAAGAGATTCTCAAATGTAGAAGAAGAGGAATGCAGCAGACGATGTGTCAATTAGAAGAAACGACAAAATTTTTCTCTCTTGCGCTCTCTCTCTCTCTGCTTTTCTATATTTAGTCACTTGATGCACAGACTACGGGTAAAATAAGTCAGAAATTGCCCAGGTTCACGCAGATTTAGTCATCATTTTGTTTGATACCTTAGGGGCTCTGTCATTAAAATCTTCATAATACATACTCGACTCATTTATTGTCACACTAGTTTATCGTAAAGTACCTGCTTTTCTCATTCATGCTTTCTTTCATTTCCGCTTGTCTCTAATGATACAAAAATGAAACAAGCGGAGCATTGAGAGAAAAGAGTGACCAGATCCATTTTCATCAGTCATATGTTGATGAACGAGACAAAATGCATGATCAAACCTTTGAAAATCTAATCGCAAACGTTAAGTACAGTTGAACGGGACATGACGACAAAGAATATGAATAAATATGAACTAATTGGTTTTCCTAGGGCTTCTTTAGTCTTGTGATTATGACGTCGACAGCTTTAGATTTGAAAGACTTATTATAGCTAAGAAGAAAACGGATTTCATTCGCATCTATCACTCAGCTTTTTCTCTTCTCCTGTTGAGAAGAACAGCTAATAGTCGATGTTCATCTTTTTCACCATGGAAACCAAACTTCGGGCGACAAGATCAAAAATATCGTTATTAAACACGCAATGATAATCACAAAGATAATTAAAATTACTTTGTTCATAGTACAAAGACTATCTCGCTAAGTTTACCTATCCAATAAAAGTCCATTTTAACAATAATTACATAAAAAAGTAAATATACAAGTCGAATACAATAAACAAAAGGGTTTATTTTCGCCTACGTTTGCCTGTTCAGCAGCTAATAACATTAATGGACGTTTTGGGCTAATTGCTGCATTATCATCGGAAGTTGTTGATGTGTCCGAGTCGTTATCGATACTTCCATGTTGCTTATTAAAATAACATTCATCAACCTTGGCTGTAAACAAATCACGCAAGTATTGTATCGAGACTCGAATTCCACATTCAACGGTAAAAGTGCTGTCCTTTAATTGTAAACATGTTTCAGCTCGAACACGATTTAATTTCGATGAGTTAATATCAACCACATTTAGGATATTCGGAACGCTAAGAAATACTCGAACATTATTCATATCCTGAATGCGTATTGATTCGATAATGGATCCACTGGTAAAGTGTTTCACAACTCTCAAGAAATCGTAACCTTTTAATGTTAAAATGTCAGTTGAGAGAACGGATGTATCAATTCACAGTTTATTTGTCGATGCAACCACCACTGTAAATTCCAGACACGACTGTTGTTATATGATATATGTGATGTAAATATATGAAAATGATTCTTTCTTCCTGCTAAAAATTTGATCGTCGAACGTGAACTGACGAGGACTAACAAAAACAATTAATCCAGGGATTTTTATGATTTCTCTAGCGACTCAAAGATACAAGATAACACAAAATCGATTTGTGCTTGATCTCATGTATCTTGATGGCTATACAGATACAAAATTCAACGAATATCAATGAAGTTTTGCGATTCTAAGGTGCACATCATGATGGGGTTGTTCGTTTTTAAATAAAATAGAAACATTTAGAAAATCCTACAACCGCAGTACACATTCAAGAAAAAAAGATAATGGAATTGTTCATGTATTATTGATCGAATCTTTCTCAGATGGGACATACATTCCTGCACCTGTTGGAACATTTGCTGGATTGGATATTGCGTACGGATTAGCAGCAGTATAATCGGGTATCAGCGCTGCTTGATCATCAGCTTGTCTACCGAAAAGTTGACGGTATAAACTTTGCCACACACCATTGTAAATACCCATACCTACATGAATGAATATTGTCGATTTCGCAACGTTGCAGCAGAATTCTGCACTTACCGATAACTAAAAGAACGAAACCAACGATTTGTAACGGGTAAAATTTTTGCCAGCTCAATGCTAGTGACACTGCCCAGATGATCAACGTTCGACCACTGTCGAGCACCATTCGCGTGGTCGATGACAATTCTTTGGTTACAGATATACCAGCGAAATTGAAAAATGCAATTGAGAGTATGTTTCCTAAAAAAAAGAAGCCATCAAATGTGACAGCAAAAAGCTATTGGGTTATTTCTCGTCGTACCAACTGTTGCTATGATGATTATGTAATTATGGCCCATCTGACAGAACGCTTCCGGGACATCTTCTAGCCGATGCTCTGGACCACTATTTGAGGTTTTCAGATGGATGAAATGAAACTAATGGCAGACAGGAGCTAATAATAACTAATTACAATCGAATACATACTGGGATTATAACAAGACTGAGAGTAAGGAAACCGAAGATGCCTTCCCAACCAACAGCTTGTAACGGTGGAATGTTGTATTTTCCAATGAATCGCTCCTCGTAGACAACCTACAATGAAACTTAACAAACAGATTCATAACTTCGTCACTGATCGTACTTGACCACTAGTAAACAACATTGCCAAAAGAATAAGAAGTATTCCAGCAACTTTTTCGCCACTGCTATGATTACCTTCCTTTGTTTTGTCAAATAACAGATCCGATACACCAACAACAACCAAACCAGTGACAACAGTACCAATGCCTAACCATTGAATGCCGTTGAGTCTCTTCTTTAGAAATAATATACTAAAAAATCATATAATACATAGATATCCAATCAAATGAACGATCTTTCGGTTACCTCATAAGAGCCGTGAAAACCATGACTGAACCTCTCAACATTTGAAAAGAACTTGCAGTAGTTAAATTCAATGCAAAATAAGATAAACATGTTGAGAGCATATCAAAGATGGATGCTATCCAAAATATCAATGGATTAAATACTTGTTCACCATCGACTAGACGGATATCTTTCTTGATGTTGATAGGCCATAAATTCACAAGTGCCGATGACGCATCACCTTTGTATGTCATTTGTTGAATACGATACCGAGCAGTAGAGTACCAAATGAATTTGAAAGCTAACAGACATAAGAATTCACCAATGAACATACCGACGGCCTAAAAGGAGAATCAGTTAATCGATATGAAAACTGCAACGATGGTTTACCTGAAGAAACGGATGCTCAAATGTAATATTCTGTCCTGATCCATCGCAAAACTCAGATGTTTGCCTAGAAAAAATAGCGATCAGTGTTCAATATGGGAAAAGTCACAACTTGTTCAATTACCGATCAGCCCATTTCGTTGATAACGTATTGATCGTACCAGTTACTAACATCAAACCCGCAAGAAATAGTTGGTACGGTGTAAAACCCATGACGATCTTAAACTACAAGCATAAACGAAAAAAAAAAGTGAAAATGTCAGTATCAACAAGATCTATCTGAATGTAACTGAAGTAGAAGAAGAACATTATTCGTTTTCTCTTGTATATTTGATATCTTTATCTAATCATTTCACCTTGTCACCTTCATGTCGGTGAAGATAGTCACATATGAAAATGTCTTTGGACTTTTGTATCATGTACAGAAATGCTTCACACCCTCGACTTGCCGTGTGTGAATGATAAATCTCAGCGAACATTTTTTTGAAAAATTTAAGAACATTTTTTTAGTTACGCTCGATCTTTTTCACTGAAATCTATCGGATCATTTAACATTCAAGAAGAGTTGTTCTGGCTTCTTTTTTTGTCGTGTCATATTTATTTTGCTCCCGAGATTAGTAACAATGATTCAGCAAATCGTCTCTTTCAAATGTTATCATTCAAGATATGGCAAGAGTAGTTCCGTTGAGTTATTATTGTTGCTCTTCTTGCGGGATTTGTGGTTTCGACAGGCGCTCTACGATTCTCTTGAGTTTTTGTTTTCGTTTGACTAGATCAATATCGGGAAAATGTTGATTGACTGTTTGTAAAATCTTTTGATTGCGTCGTTTCAAATCTCGTTCTTGCTGTTCTTGCTGAGCTTTCTGCAGTCGGTCACGTAATCGCTGTCGATGAATGACATCATTCAGATTCCTGAATAAAACACATGTGAAATGTATCGAGAGAGATATGAAGTGTCATATCTTACTTTAATGTCAGAGGTTTGACCAATGGGTCCGAAGTACGTTCTTCACGAACTGCTGTCTTTTTCTTATCGATTTTCTAGAAAGTCAGGAGAAGCTAATTTTCGGCCAAAGCGACATATTCTGTTACCGTAAAGTTGAGCGATTGTGCTTCATTCTGTGCTTGCACTTTTCTCTTGCTGTAAAGCAAACGAAAATAATCCATCGGACGCCAACGTCGTTCGTCAATATGTTGAATGACTTTTCGTACTGAATCCGCCTTTGTTACTAAGCATACATTCCAATACACATTGACTGAGCATTCACATGGATTACTCACCTGTTTGTCGACCAATTATATCATGTACTAGTACTTCATAATCATATTTCACAGTAAAATTTCGACGAGAAGCGATTCTCTCTGCGAGTCGAAGCGTTTCAGAAAATACGGCAACACCCTGAATATCACGTGTATGAAATCATTCCCAATCAAACTTGTCCTCTTACAGATATATCCAGAGTTGAAAGAGCACTTTGTGAATTGTTTAAAGATTGAATAATATGTTGGACACCATGGGTTGTTAGTGGATTGAATGATAACTATATGATCAAAAGAATACGCGTGTTTTCTCGATGAATTTTCGCTTACATTCAATGAATCTAACGTGGAATTTTTCTGTAAACCTTCGCCAATCAATTTTGCACATGTCCAATTGATATTACAATTACTGATGTCCAAACGTTGTAGAACTTTATTGACTGATAATACTCGACGAAGTGCGACACTACCATCGTAACTTAAATTACTCCATGATATGTCGAAGTCGACAATCGTTCGATTAGCCTTCAAAGGAAAATCTCAGTTCTTTTATACTCAACTACCAATAATTACTTCAAATCCACGAAATAATGCAATCGCCGCGAAACTTCGTATGAGATTCCAACCGATATTCAAATATGTCAATGCATCATTCTCCGCTAAAATGTCACAACATCAAATACTCTAACGAATGAAATTATACGAATACTTAATGCATTGCCGATAAAAATACATGCCATTTCTTCAAATTCATTTCCAGTTAAGTTGATTTCTGTCAATGTCGGATGTCGACATAGATCACCGATGCACCGCCCATACGAATCTCGTATGCCGCATTCCGCTAATGATAAACAATTCAATAGCGACAAATTATTTATCCGATCTACCAAGAGTTCAAACGATTCTTTCGACAGTTTATTACAAGATAAGTCCTAATGAGAATCAAACACGATCTTTCCAGAGAATGTTCTTCTAAAACTTACCAATAAAGTAAGTCGATTACACTTTGCCAACCCTTGACAAAGAACATTGATCGAACGTGATGTTAAACCAGCAGAACTTAATGTTAAACTTTGAAGATTAATTTCCATTGCCGTCGAAACTGCCCGAATGTCATTAAACGACAATGATCGGTTCATAATCGTGATGTCATCATACGACAGAAGAGCCCGTAATTGCCAGTCGACGGTTGTATCCAGTAATTGACAACTATTCTCATATACCTGAACGCGTCCTATTGGGAATAAAAGCTTGATCTGACGTTCAAAAAAGAACCTTTGAATTACCTTTACTCGGTAAAGTTTTACTAGGAATAGGCAGAAGAGTGACGTTATTCGAGTCAGATTCTCGACGAGATCGATATGGGAAACTCTTTTGACCAAATGTTTGCTGATAACGATTGCTTCGATGTGCAGCAAGTTTGTCATCGAATGACAAACGTGGAAATTCACATTCTTTCTTCTCATCTTGACATAAATCAGTACGTTTGAAATGTTGACCGAAAAAGTTTCTAATTACCTGTTTCTTCGTCATCTAAGTCCGTATCATACTCTTCCATGCCTTTGAATAGTTGATTTGTGAATGTGGACATTGATGAATTAGGAACGATTGTGATCGAGATTTTATTGACAGCCGAAAAAGATTTTTTAATCGATTAGAAAAAGGAAAAAAAAGAAGAAAAAGAAAAAGAAATTCTCTCTCGTTTTCCGACAAGATGATTATTGACAACAAAGACCTTTCTTTTCTTTTTCGTTTCATATATATATTTTTCTTGTTTTTCATTCAAAAAGAACGTACAAACAAAAGACAAGCGTATGCATTAGGATATATATGTGTATAGTCTCTGTTAATCTTGCATGTCTTCTGGAATTTCATGTGGATTGAGAATACCTAAACGAAAAGACTCGTTATTGTTGACATTACCGAGGAAAAATGCGACTTACCGGGAACACTCATTTGTATTTTACGTTTTTCTTCTGCTGCACGTTTCAATGTTTGTTCACGGTCTTCAAGATAAAGATCAGCTGTATCATTGCCAGTGGCTTCACGTATTTGAACAAGGAAATCACGTAAATGTTCTTTAAAACCAGCTATATCTTGGTCTAAGGTCACGAAACCTTCAATAATAACTTTGATTTGATTATCTTGTAAATGTGGGAAAGCTGTTTTTAAAAGATTAGCCATAAATTGCTGAACATAGAGCAAGTTTTGCGCTGGATCCTGAACTTCAGCTGCTAATGGAACTTTAATTAAACCTTGTTCAACAATAACGAATAGATTCGCCAAGATTTGAGAATGAGCCGTTAAACCTAAACAAAGATCGAACAAATCAACGTTTCTTTTCCATTTCCGAACCATTTCCTACCCGATGTGTGCGAACATTCAGCTACGACAGCAAAGATATGTTGCATGGTTTCCAGATAGTAAACTTGATAAAACGTTTGTGCTGCCTGTGGGTCGCATGTTTGAAACTTTCGTAACATAATCTGTAAGATTTCCAGACCCAATTCTGATATTGTTCGCA